AGTGCTTAGAACAGTGTCTGGCATGTAAATACTGTAGTATAGTAAGTATATGAGTGAATTAATATATTTAGCTATAGCAATTTATAAAAATATACAACTATAGAAATATCAAAATTATCCCATGCTTGGGTTAGGTCTAATGCCCTAGAATTAACATTGTCAAGAACAGTCTCTGTTTGGGGGCGAGGGGGGCCCATTAATCAGCCTACTACTTTGCCTGCCCGCCTCACCCCAGTCTGCAAACTGTCTTTATCTAGAGGTGTGTTGTTTTACCAGCTATCCAGGGCACGGGCCATTAAAGGCCACCAGCCATGCTCTTCATTAGTGGTGTGCTGACCTGGGGTGCCATCTGCTCCCTAAGCCTGAGGTAACCCCACAGATGCCCATCTGCAGTCCAGACCAGCACCCACCAGTCACAGGGTCTGCTGCCCTGAGGGGACTGCTGCCCTTTATCAGTCACTGCAGAGGAAGGGAAACCTACTCGCTATCATTTACAAACCTAGGTTCTGTCAGTGACTAATCATGTTTTCCCACCCAACTGAACCCAAGTTTCCACTTGAGTATCTTATTAAAAGTTGGCTCTGCTTCTCGTTCACATTCAGAGGCTAAATGCTAATGACTTGTTGCTGCCAAACCCTGCTTTGGGGATTATCACTTCTATGGAAGGCGCTGGAATGTTAGCAGCTCAAGTGTGAGCATTAGTCAAGGCTGGTCTCAGATGGCTTTCTTTTTTGGTCATCTGTGACTGTCTACAAGTCTCTTTTTCTTGCTTTCCTCTTCCTCCTTTCTTTCCTTCTTTCTTCATTTCTTAAGCAATGATGGTTCTGACCTAATTTCTGCTAACCTGTCTTTTCTGAACACTGAGACAAATCCTTTTATTAAGCAACATGTCTCAGACTCTGTGCCTTGTCTTGTGTTGATGAGGCTCTGATAATTGGTGGTATTTTCTTGGGTGTTTACTACATGCTTCACGTTTTGCTAGTGCTTTTACACATACCTCATTGATTCCTCACAGCCCATTTAACAGGTGTGATGATGGTACTGTTAGCACATTTTTGTAAAGAGCTATTTTATTTTAGAAATACATATTGAAGTATTTATGAATGAAATGATATGACATGAGATTTGCTTCAAAATAATGGTAAGGGTGTAGATGAAACAAGGTTGTTTCGCATTCAAGTTAGACATGGTATTGGATACAAAGGATTTCATTGCGTTATTATTTCTCCTTTGTAAAGTGCGTATCTTTTAAGTATATGTGTAGACAAGTTCAGAGACAAAAAGTTAATGAGATTTGCCTCAGAATAATCCAGTTGTGGCAGGGGAGGAGGTAGAGTGGATGAGTTTATAGATAAAGTAAGATCTGTGACTTTGAGTCATTGTTGTTGGTTTTCTGTTTGTTTTCTTTTTGTTTTAGCTTTATAAAAGGTACTGTTTAATTCTTATCCTCTACTCATAAATAGGTCTTTTGCCTTGGCCAATATTTTAATAAACTTCTTTATGATGTTATTACGCATGGCCTGAATTAAATAAAAAACTCATAGGAATAAAGCAACTAAGAAGTAAAAATATCTAGTTGTCACTTTTTTAATACATTTTTTAAAAACTGGACGTTTGTACCTTTTGACTGCCTTCATCTAGTTCCCCTTCCCCCGATCCCCTCACCTCTGGTAACCATAAATCTGATCTCTTTTTCTATGAGTTGGTTGGTTGGTTGGTTGGTTTTTGAAGTATAATTGACCTACAACACTGTTAGTTCCTATTACACAACATAGTGATTTGATATTTCTGTGCATTCCAAAATGATCACAGTGATAAGTCTAGTTACCGTCTGTCACCATACAAAGATATTACATAGTTATTGACTATATTCCCCACGGTGTACACTTCATACCCCTGACTCATTTATTTTGCCACTGGAAGTTTGTACCTCTTAATCTCCCTCACTTATTTCTTTCCTCCCTCCACCCCGCTCCCCTCTGGCAACCACCTGTATCTATAACTGTTTCTGTTTTGTTATGTTTGTTCATTTGTTTTTTAGAGTCCACATGTAAGTGAAATCATACAGTATTTGTCTCTGCCTGACTTATTTCACTTAGTGTTAATACCCTCTAGGTTCATCCATGTTGAAACAAATGGCAAGATTTCATTCTTTTTTATGGCTGAGTAACAGTCCGTAATATATATACATACCACACCTTTATCCATTCGTCTGTTGGTGGATAGTTATGATGCTTTCATATCTTGGCTATAATGCTGTAGTGAACACTGGGGTGCATATATCTTTTCTAATTCTTGTTTTCATTTTCTTCAGATAAATACCCAGGAGTGGAACTGCTAGGTCATATGGTAGTTCTATTTTTAATTTTCTGAGGAATCTCCATACTGTTTTCCATAGAGTCTGCACCAATTAATATTCCCGCCAGAGGCGTGCCAAGATTCCTTTCCTTTACATCCTTGCCAGCACTTGTTACTTGTTATCTTTTTGATAATAACCATTCTGACAGGTGTGAAGTGATATCTCATTGTGGTTTTGATTTCTATTTCCCTGATGAGTGATGTTGAGCATCTTTTCATGTGCATGTTGGCCATCTGTATATATCTTCTTTGGAAAAATGTCTGTTCAGATCCTCTGACCTTTTTTTTTTTTTTTTTGCGGTACGCGGGCCTCTCACTGTTGTGGCCTCTCCCGCTGCGGAGCACAGGCTCCGGACGCGCAGGCTCAGCGGCCATGGCTCACGGGCCCAGCCGCTCCGTGGCACGTGGGATCTTCCCGGACCGGGGCACAAACCCGTGTCCCCTGCATCGGCAGGCGGACTCTCA